GCCCTTTCTAAGCATTGACTATAGATTTGTTAAGTTTACAAGTTATAATTTCCATTCTTTATCTTTATTTGTTGTTATCAAATTTTTCTAAGTATTCTTAAGTGATAAATGAGCCATTTTAGCTTAAATTCGAGGCATTTTAATGTATGGTCAAAGGGAGAAATTTTTTCTTGATACATGCAAGAGAAATCATGCATTACAAGTGCTTATCATGGCTTACTCACATTTGTGCAAGATTTTAGAAAAACATTAATGATAGGGGCCCTAAGATGTTGTTTATGGTAGAGTGTTGATGTAAAGCAGGTGGTGTTGTCTCCTTTGCTACCCTATATAAAGGGGCATCAGAATAGACTCGAAACTCACACCATAATAAGCAAAGTCTTAGCTATAGAGTGAGGAAGAAAAACGAGAGAAATCTTGTCGAAGATAGGTTGAGATCAACTTCTGGAGTTTCATTTTCAAATTTCTTGAAGGGGATTAGATGCTACCTTTTATCATGTGTTGTAGTTGAGATTAAGTATATAATGATGTATTTACATGTCATATATATTTAGTTTTTAAGAAATTTTAAGCATGAGAAATGATTAGTTGTTTCCAGCTCAATCACATGTTATATATGTCCTGTTTTGATTTGAATTTTAGCATGATATGCGTAACATGGGAAAGTATACTTTATATAGTTATTTCTTGTGTAAATTATGAGTACATAGGAACAAGAATCAAGTCATTTGGTTTAGTATAACTCGAGTTATAGATTTTTTAAGTTTATCATGTAAATCGAGTTTATATGCTAAGTTTCAGCTGCGTATTTTGAAGTTGAATAAGTCAATCTATGTGCATGAGAAAAATGTGTAATTTTAATGACATGTATACCTATATGTAGAGAGTGAAGATAAAGATGACCAAGTTCCAACTTGATATGATAATTATATTTTTATAAAATTCATTAAAGTTAAGCATGTATTTAGCATAATTATATGTTAAGTTTAAAATTTGAGTTGGTTGAGCTATTGAAGTGCTTTTAAGCTAAAAAATTTGAGGTAGAGTATATGAATATATCTACAAATTAACTACCGAGTTTCATAACTTTTAGAGTTATATGTGATTTTTTAGAAAATATACTTAGATATATTTGCTTGTATATGTTGGTAGTTGTGGAGAGTTGAGCCTCCAACAGCTACATCAGTTATTCAGCACTTGCAAAGTCCTTTCAACATATCAGGTGGGGGCCCATACAGGGTGTTACATTGAGCATATTCTGTTATTCTGTATGAGGTATGTGAGTAAGTTATTTTACCCGAATGGTTGAGTTATCCCGTTTGTGGTCCAGTAAGTTATTTACCCGAATGGTTGAGTTATCCAGTTTGTGGTCCAGTTAAGATGAGTTTAATAACCCAGTCTTATATGGAAGTTTTTCCATGCTAGGTTTTGTGGGAGGCGACCCCCAGAGTGTGATCACATGATAATCCAGACAATTTCCGGATGTTGCAACAGTACAATAAAGTTTATGCATATGCAGATTTCATGATATATAATTTCATGTGCTCACTCCCCCACTATTATTTTTTTTAGGTGATGGAGTTCAGCGTGAAGCGTGAGCCGAGCAGTGGTGTGGTGATGTTCGAATAAAGCTGGGTATTTATTATGTTTGTGTTTAAGTTGGTTTGTATTAAACTACATACGACTATATTTTAATTACGTTTCCGTACTGATAAACCAGAACCAGTAAGTAAGTATGTATAATTATTCTATGTATAATTATTCCTTATCCATATTATCTAACTAGATTTTATATTTGATTTGGATACATACATGAATAAAAGAAAGAAAGAGTAAGAAGTCAAGTTAGTAAGTAAGTAACATCCCTCAAAGTTAAGTTTAGTATTTTCAAAACCAGTATCTTTCGAAAACAACCGCCAAACTTTTAACTAGATTTTTTTAGTCAAGTTAAATAAGACGGGGTGTTACACCTTGACTCCCTGGTCATGGTATTATATATGTTGTAAAAGCTTGGCTTTCAGATATAAACAATACCATTTTGATTTGGCAATCGTGTTTTAGTCAAAGTATTTATGTTTGCAGTTTATTTATTTATGAAATAATAACTCCATTATTTTACATTGTAGATAATATGGTTCGTCGTGTCGAACAGAAAGATCATATTATCGCTTCCTTGTAAAATATAAATTAATTGTTCACAGTTTAGACAGGCAGTGAGACCCCTGTTGGATAAAGACTGTAGTGTAGTCTTGATTCAGTTGATCCTTGTAACATAATATAAAATGGGCATATATATTCATTACTTATTTATTTGATTTACCAAGGGTGATTCATATTCTTTTAGGATGATATACTCGTTATTTTGGTAAGTAAGTTTATAGGATGTGTCGTTAGAAATTATTTGCAGTCACTATGTCCCAGTGTGCTGGGTTGATGACGTCCCCGAAATGAGCTCATGAAGGAATATTATGTCAAACCTTGCATGTGGATAATTATCCTATATAATGATTAATGAACTGAGTGGTACTAATTTCAGAAATGAAGAAGTCGAACTAATTTTATTATCAGTAATAAAATTAATCGACGGACGTTATATCTTAAATATAGGGATAAATTGGAGGTTTTATTATCAGACAATTAGATTAATATTAATTAATCATTTGGAGGTTTGATTTATTGAATAAATTGGGGCTAAATGGGGAGAGCAATAATATTACTCTAGTGGGATGTTTTATTATTTAATTCTAATTAGGATTTAAGAATTAATTATATTCCATAATTTAGATTCCATTAGAAGAGGAATATTCCTTCTAGATTAATCACCTTAGGGTTAAGAGACTATGGAGTCTTCTAGAAGGGTGATTGAGGTTAGGAGAAATAAGACTTCTACATGAAAAAGGATATGGATCATGATTAGGATTCCTAAGCCTAATGGGATAAGCTCATATTTTGCACCTCTTTAAGGTCCCTAATGTAGCCAATAAGTACACCATGTCCCAACATTTTCCCTACTATTGATTGAGCTCGATTTTAAGGTCCCAAGAGGAAGATGAAAATCAAGATCTACATATACCACCAAGATTAGTCGAAGTAGGTGTTAAGGTAATACATTAGAAGATCTTAAGGTTAAATAGATCAAACGTTGAAGATCTATATTTTCCAGCCATCCTCCACCGTCGACTGCCTCTGTCCAGCCGCACGCAGCCGCAATCATCGACCCGCAACCGCACGCAGCCGGGCACGCGCACACAAGTCCCAGCGACGCCCCGTGAGCTCCTGCACGCCGTCGTCTCTGTTCGCGCACGGTACTGCCTGCGTTCGTCGCGCCCCATCGATCATGCACGTCCAGCCACACACTCGCGTCCATCGCTTGTGTCCCATTCCGCGCAGGAGAAGGACTCCCGCGTCTGCACGCGCACGAGGCCCAGTCCGGGTTGGCCTAGGACTGCCGAACCGCACGCGCCCGAGGACACAGCACTCGTCCACGTCTGTCCGCCCGTCTGCGCGTCTCATGCACCCGACGTGCACCCGTTCGCGACCAGCACAGCCGCAACCTGCACTGAACGAGATGAGCCCAGTCGAGCCGAGTGAGCCCGACCGAGCCAACTGAGTTCCGATCGAGTCAACTCGATCGAAGCTAATCCAACTGGCCCGAGCCCGACGAGCCCGATCTGGTGATCCGTTCCTGATTCAGTGACTCGATCAGAATCGAGAAAGGGTAGATCCGGCAACCCATCAGATTCTGGTAGTCAGACAATCTCCATCAAAGAAAATCAGAAATGTCTCTGAGTCGGTAATTACGTCCTAACCCTAACTATAGATTCCGCTACGTTAGGGTTTATTTTGCCAAATTGAAATGTGCATGTTGTTGTGTTCCTAATAGAACCCAACACATGGATGCTCCTTGAGGACTATCTATGTCTCTTCTTGATGAACTAGATTCCACCAAACTTAGATTTTTGTGATTGTGGACGGGTCCTGGGCTCATTTCCACAGCTCTGCCAGTAATCAACCCATAAGCTATGTTAACCTCTTTAGGTTGATTCTATCCCTGCTCATCTGTCTTTTCCTGTCCATTCTCAGAAGATTGGTTGGTCTACCCCGAGTTACTGAAAGTTTTTATTTCTCCTGCCTTAAGCCAATCTCATATTGCCCAACTTTGATCTCACCATTAGCTATATCCAGTTCTTTGCCATGACAATCTCTGTCCATGTGACCTATGAACCCACAATAGTAGCAAAGATTGACCAGCCTCTCGTATTTAAAGCTCACGGTGGTTAATTGATCCCCCATTATAAGAGTAGTGCATCGAGGGAGAGCTTTGCTGATGTCGACTACAACCAACAACCTGATAATACGACCTCCTGCTCTTACAACATTTGTAATTCCTACATTTTTCACCCTCTTGAACACCTTTCTTACCTTTAGCCCTACCTCCATACTCAGCCATTCCAATGGTACATTAAACACCTGTACCCACATATTGATCTCATCAAAAAAACTATCAGTCGTTCTTATACCCTTTCACCATTCTTGTAGGACTAAATATTGATTTTCAATGATCCAATTTGTCCCTAGTATGACCTTCTTCATATCGCTTTGATTCTCAAAAATGAACTGAAAATAATTGAAACTTACTTCTCGAACCTCCATTTCCTGTTGAGTCCTCCAAATTCCAGCCATCGTTCTTTTCGGTCCAACCAAAGATGCACGCCTATTCCCCAGTACCTTTCCCACCAAGATGCGTTTACATTCTTTGGCATTAGCTCGTATATCATCATTGCCAATGTCAATCACTTTACTATCCTTCCCAGATAGAGAGAAATTTCTGAGTCAATTAGCAATATCTTCCTCGAATTCTACTGCCTCTCCTTTATCTCCCATTACAATACCCTTCTCAAACCCTAATTGTGTGACCCACCAAAATCCCCTTTCCTAGAGAACCCTACGCTACCAGTTAAACAAACCCCCACACTGGACGGAATCTCCTCCCTCACCCGATGAAAACTCGCCTCTCCCTCACCCGATGGAATCTTACCTCTCACGCGAGAGAATTTTGGTTCTTTTATTGTAGTATTATTTTTAGTATTGGATTGTTTTCATACATGTAATTTTTTTAATTTTCATAATCGTAAATTACATATTAATTTTTTTTAAGTATTGTGCATTTTACTTATCATTAATATACATTAATTAATTTTTTTGTAATAAATCATATATTTTTACATGAATTAAATTTAAAAACAATAAAAATTTACTAAATTACAAATAAGTCCCTAAACACTATTTAATTCTCAAAAAATCAATTAAACCTAACTTCCCTAATTTGCAGTTTTTCACCTATTTTGCACAAAACATTCGCCACTGCCGCCACTCTGTCAGGCTCGTCGGCAAGCTCTGGCATCCCGGCCGACCATGACCATGACGCAGGGGCTCTCCGACGAAGCCGTTGGGCGACAATCGACCGCCTAACGCAGGACACAGCACGGTCACTCCAGTCGGACTCACCGGTGATATATGGCCTCCGGTCAACCACGTCCGCGACAACGGCGTGGACCCTGCAACACCGGCAGGCGGGTGTTGGGGTTGACAGCAGGGAGAGGGTGAAGCTGAGAGAGGGTGGCGGAGAAGATATGGATGATTTGGACTTTTTTTTTTCTCTTTTGCACTAGTGACGGTGGTGACATCGATGTCCGGGAAGGAGTACGCAAGAGTCTCCACCGGCAGAGTAGTTATTTGGTGTGGGCGATGGTGTTAATGTGATGGACGACATCGCCAGCGGCTTGAGGCGGAAGGGATACTTGGTCAGTGGCGGGAAGTGGCAGGCTCCGGTGGATGCCGGAGCGATCGATTGAAGGATGACGAAGGTCTGGTAGTGGGAGAAAAGCGCGACGACGGCGTGGGTCTGGAAGTCCGGTGAGTGTGAGTTGCCACCGACAGTGCATGTAGTGTGTGTGTGTGTTGGAAAGAGAAAATTAATGGAGGTGGATAGGCGGGCCCTGTGATTAAATGGATGGTAATGGGTCCCACGGGTTGATAGTGATTATTGAGTTAATGTCTAAATTACCCTTAATGAGGCTTTATTTTTTACTTTTTTAAGCCGTTGGATCATCCGATCCGATGGCTATCAAGTATTCTTATTCTTTCACTTAACAACAATCTCGCTGGAACCCAACCATATATATATATATATATATATATATATATATATATAGAGAGAGAGAGAGAGAGAGAGAGAGAGAGAGAAGGGATCATATGAGAAAGATCTATAGTGAAAGAAATAAGAATGAATCATAGCCCTTATATGCGATATATCAACAATCTAGATGCGGTCAAATGGTCCAACTTTAGTCAAACACGTGGTGGCATTTCTGTACATAAGTGAAGTTTTGATTTTCACGCAGGGGCATTTTAGTATTTGTGCCTGTTTCGATAAAGTGCAATATCACATGCACTAAAGTACAGTTTGTATAACCATATGGTGCAGTCTGTTTAGTGCTATTTTTTAAGTGCAATTCCTAACGCGATAAGGTTCAATGCGATGTACATTAAAGTGCAATGATTAAAATTTTATTAAATTACAGATTTAACCAATGCACTATGTTTTAATATAACTAAAAGTTATAAAATTACAATTTGGTCCCTATAGTTTATCAAATTATCAAAAAAAAAGTACAAAACTCTTTTTTCCGCATGTCCCGTCGTTTCTAGCCGGAGACACCTCTTCTAAGGTTGCCACCCCTTCCACCACCGCCGGTGGGGTCTCGAGCCGCTGGTTCTCACAGGTTTATCTTTTTTTTTTCTTCTTTTTTTATTTTGCTATTAATGACGGATCTCGAAGCTCCATTTTTTTCCCGTCGATTTCACGGTCGGAGGCGGAGCTTCGCCGTGCATATGGTGCAGTTGAGGGCCTCGTCGAGAACGTAAGTGGTGGTGAGTATGGCGCCGCCGCCGCCGCCTGGACAATGGAGAAGATGACGTCGAGCTGTTCGGGGAGGATGGCGGCGGACGCTCGCCGGCGGTGGGGACTGAACGGTGGTTGTGGTAGCTCTTCGTCGGCCGTCGGCGGGAACGGGATGGTCGCTCTTCGTCGGCCGCGGTGAGATTTGATTTCACAGTCGCAATTTTTTTTTCCAGTCGCAGGTCCTTGTGTGTATTTATGTGTGTTAGTGTGGGTGTGTTTGAGAGAGAGAGAGAGAGAGATAGTGACATAATAAATTTGGTGGGTGTGGTGTGAGTGCTGGTGGGCCCCACGACTTTTGTTATGTTATTTAATGAGTTGTAATTATTAATCTACCCTTAACGAGTGTGATAAATTGGCATTTTTTAAGTCGTTAGATTGTCCGATCTAATGGTTAGTATGTATTCTTATTTCTTTCATTGAGAACCATTCTCACGGGAGCGCGACCCTCTGTTATTCGTCCCTGTGCACACATGCACAGAGACAAATAAAAACTTATATATTATATATATATATATATATACAATATTTAAAATTTTAAATTAGATAATGGGTGTATTACATTTTAAATTTTTTGACTATATACAAATGTACAATATAAATACAAATTATTTAACTTGCATGTGAATCTTTATAATGATGACATAAATTTTAATGGACGATGTAATTTTGTAATTTAGAGGCATCATACAATTAATCAGTTGGAAAATTATTACAATTATTTTTGTTATTGTTTTAGTAATTACTTATGTAATTTTAAGAAGTTTAATTATGACACACATGTCAATTAACTAATATTAGAGAAAAAACGCTTAATAAGACGAAAAATAATATTTATTGTAAAATAAGTATCTTAAATACATTTTTTTATAAGTGTGTAACTTTCACATACTATTTAATGTACATTTATAATTACTTAGTATTAGTAGTAATTATTACATAATAAAATAATTTAAATTATTATTGTACTTTATTAATGTATAATGTAATTGTTCCACATTAATTGAAAAAAAGAGCGAGAAACCTATAGAGGTTTTATTTATTTCTCTGCCATCAATTATATAAATATATAGGCCTAATTGCAAATAAAACCATGACATTTAAGCTTTTTGCATTTTAAACCCAACTTTAAGGTAATTGCAAACAAATCGCAACCTTTTTTAAAATTTGCAACCCGAACCCAAAGTTGATCGGCAGCGAGCTCCGTGCCTACGTCTCCGGGCAGGCCATCTCACGTGTCCTCACACTTCGCTGACGAGGATGCCACACTGTCATACACACACAACACAGAAAGGATAAAATTGTAAAAGTGTAACTTACAAATACAAATCGATTTATTCACTCTGAATCACAATTAACTCTGTAGAATTAGGGTTGCGTTCCCAGCGATTCACTACAATCCAAAGCCCTTTAGTTGGTTTTCTTCAATTCTGACATGTGATTCGGTAATTAATGCAAGAAAAAACATGACTTCTGGAAGTCGGGCAATGCCGGATCAATCCAATAAAAAAAACGCAATCACTTGGTTGCTACAAATGATCAACAAAATAGAAAAAAAAAAACTCCATCANAAAAAAAAAAAAAAAAATACTCCATCAACACCACATATTTACCTTTCTACGTCGACACCTGTAGAACCTTCTACATGGATTATCGATCATCATCGATGTCACGATGTCTGCCTCTCACCATGACGGCATTCCTTTCAGCCATTGTTCGAACTGCCACCTCTCCGAGAACTTTGACTTCTGTGGGAAGAGAATGACATTTTAGAGGTATTGGGACGAGCAACCAAGTTGGGTTTGTAATTGGGAACAAGAAGCTCGGCAATTGGGAGAGGATCTCGGCAATTGGGCCGATTAGGGTTTAAATTGGGGAAGAAATGAATAAGGATCACTTTAGATGCGTTTTTATTTGTGTGTGTGTGACAATGTGGCATCCTCGTCAGCGAAGTGTTAGGACACGTGAGATGGTCTACCCGGACACGTAGGCACGATGCTCGCTGCCGATGAACTTTGGGTTCGGGTTGCAAATTTTAAAAAAGGTTGCGATTTGTTTGCAATTACCTTAAAGTTGGGTTTAAAATGCAAAAAGCTTAAAGGTCATAGTTTTATTTGCAATTAAGCCATATATATATATATAGAAGTGCGCTCAAATGAGAATGAAGCACAATGAAAATAAGAATAAATATAGAATGTGGTTCAAATGAGAACTAAGTCTTATTGTGAGAACAGTAAGAACCACTATTTTTTATTGTGCGCAGTGCTATGATTGATTGTGTTTGATGCTATTTTTACTCAGGATGAATTTTATTAAAAATAGCAACACAATTTATATTAGAATTTGTGAAAATGATAGCATCATCTAAAATTAAAAATAGTATCAAATACAATTCTCACGGTTCTCACACCAAAACTAATTTTTATTTGAACCAACCCGTGTAAGTGTATATATAGTTTGTGGGCATATGTGACTGTAAGGTACTAAGGTGGCATTATAAATGATTACAAAAGATGGGGAAAAGTAGAATTGTGGTCTATAGTTGAGTGAAGTTCAATTTTCAAGTCATGTGAGACGTGTGGGGTTTTAGGTGGGTTTTGCACTTTCGGTTAAGTTCGTTAGCCAATATTTTCATTTTTGTATTCATCACTTTGTGAAGTGTAATAGATTTGGATTAATAGCTTTTGTAGTCATTTGTTATGGATGTATATATGTATAATTTGAGGCAAACTTTTAAATGTAATCCCAAAATTTTTACTCCATTTTCAGTTACAAATCTACACTTAGTATCATCCTTTTTTTTTTCTTTTGCATATTGGTTGCTATTTATTTATCTATGAATATCTAATTACCATAAATCATGACAACCACCAGGACATTGATTGAAATAAAAATAAGTTACATCATTACACTAATTATTATTATTATCATCAAAATGCGAGTTAGCAAAAATTATTATTATTATTATTATCATTATTGTTATATTAATCCACTTTATCCCATTTAATAATAAAATATTTTCTTGAACTTTTTTTTGGGTTAATTAAGACAAAAAATTGTTACATCTTATATTAATTAAGTAATAGTTATAGTTTTTACTGTATCATATAATAGTTATTATTGAAACTAATAAATATATTTTACACTAAATGATATATGAAAGTTACATAAACATAAAAAATTATATTGTAAAAACTTTTTGTTCAAGTTATTTATTCTAAAATCAGTATTATATATATTCTCTGATTAAGTGATTATTTTTTAAATAAATTAAATTATTTTAATGGCATAGTAAAATTCCTTAACATCGCATAAGCATTATAATAAATTTAATATTTTCAGCTAATTAATTGATCATGATCCCTCAATATTACAAATATTACATTATTTATTACATGTTATGCAATCAATATAGTGATTCATATGCAATCAAATCGCTATGTACTATCTATCTATTACTATATAAAGAGACAATGATATCTACTTAAAATAACAACTAAAAATCAGCAAAAAAAAACATTGGGTTTCCTGCGAAAAGTATTTACTATATTGAGTAATATTTTTGGCCAAAATTTGAAAAATCCCGCCTAAATTAATGTACAGAATCATTTTGGTCAAATATTGCGGCTATTAACTTTATTAGTTGCATGATTTAGATTAAGAATATAATATATTGACAAAACTTGCATCTATTACCTTTATTAGTTGTATGGTTTAAATTTGGTATATAATATATTGAAAAAAATAAAAATATTTATATTTAAATTTAAAAGTAAAAAAAAATTATTCATAACTTACGGGTCAATATTAACTTGGATGTAAACGAAATAGTCAATTATTTATAGTTTAATTACTCAATAACTTACGGGTCAATATTAACTTGGACGTAAACGAAATACTCAATTATTTATAGTTTATAAATTACTCAACTATTTAATTATTTTTTTATTTGAATAGTTTATACAATAATAAATTATTTTAAATAATGAAACACTAGTTTTCGGAATTATATGAAGCCAGTAAGCAAACAGCAAATCCTTGGGTATTTGAACCCAAGTATCCAGGAAAAAGCAGAATATTTGATGGAAGGACGGGGAATCCTTTTGAACAACCCGTTATAATAGGAAAGCCTTATATCTTGAAATTAATTCACCAGGTTGATGATAAAATTCTGTTTATTCCAGGGCAAGAATTCAACAACCCCCTAATAAAAATCACAGAACTATTCATACGTTATTGAATAGAAAGATAGACTAGACTAAATTAGTAACAAGTAAACCTTTTGTATGTCTATCTCCAATTATTTTGGAGATAAGATAGTAATCGAAAAGTCTGAGACGACCCAGAAAGTACTTGATCATCTCATAATCAACTTTGTAAGCCGACTTGGGTATTGAGTATTTCCTTAGACTTAGAACCAAATTCTTTGTAATGGATAGTTGCAATTTCGGAAAAAGAGTCCGATTTTTCTTGCATTAAATCATTCATATATGTGTAGATAATATAAATTTTATATTTATACTTATTATTCACATAGATTGTTAAATATATGATAAAATTTTACCAAAATAACTATTTTATGGAATCACATATAGTCAAATCGATTTTCTGAATAAAAATTTTGAAATGATACTTATTTTGAAACGAATATAATGTAATTTATTATCAGTTATGTGCACTGCACGGGTTGTATATTAATTTTAAATATACATTTTTATTTAATTTTGCACAATTTAAACTTTATATAACATTTTCAATAAATTAATATAGGTGAAATGTATTAAATATTGATTCCATATTTTTAATTTATAAATATTATTTAATAAGAATTTTCAATTTATAAATATTAATGAATATCTCTTACACGTGCACTGCACGGTACTCATACTAGTTTATTTTAACCAAATATCAAATGTTAAAGCATAATACCAATATCTAACTTATAATTTTAATATTATATGCATAAAAATAACTTATAATACTATATAATGCCATTATCCAACTTATAATATTAATATTATATACATACAAATAACTTATAATATTTTATTTATATATGTGCAAATGCACATGTCGAATACTAGTTTGTATTAATAACGTTTGATATTTAAGGTATTCATTTAAGATTATTAAAGAATTTTT